CATGTATCAGGAAACATCCTCAAAAATCATTTGTGTAAGACTTTGAAAACTATTTTATGCTTATGTGGAATATTTTTCATATGAGTCACTCCTAATATTTTAAGGCTGTATTATCTGTGAGGCTCCAGATTAAATGTTTTATGTCAGCTCTGATTTGTTTATCACATAGAGGTCCAATGCCGTATTGTCATGTTCATGTAAGAAATGAGAGACTCAGGCTAAGGAATGGTTAAGTGTATCCCCGCTATGCTTATGGTGGACAGAACTGGCTCTCAAATTAAGAAACATATGACTCTGAGTTCCATGCTCTTTCCACCCAGACATTATTTCCTGGAACATGGGAGAAAAAAAAAAGCAGAAAATTCAGAGAATTAAATAGAAATACTGAAGTCAATTTACCACCTGCTTTCAGGCAAACAAAGCACTGACCCGACACTATGGAGAAGGAAACTGTTCCCATGTTATTAACAGCAAGTGAAATGATGTCTCACGATGTCCTCCAAAGGTTTGTACCATCAACCTCCAGGCAAGTACGATGCTTTATCATTATCATCATATTTTCTGCATCTATTTATTCCTGCAACAATGTGTCAGGAAACTGAACTTGTCTGATGCTCAACCCAGGACTACAGCGCAGTCACCTGAAGCACTTGGAGTCCACTACCCCCCACATCCCTTTCACTTCCCTCTATCCTGCTACCATTTCCCATGAGCATGAGTAGATGTTGCCAACATTTCAGACAATGATTTCCTCTTAGCCCAGTGTAGGCAAAGTATGCTGCCTGAGAAGGGAAAAAGAAAATTCATCCTAAGTTAAAAATTAATGAAATTGGGTCAGTGTTATGGCATGGCAGGTCAATTGCCGCTTTTGACATGGCATCCTGTATGAGGCACGGGTTCATATTCTGGCTGCTCCATTTCTGATCCAGCTCCCTGTTTCTGCATGTTGGAAAGCACTGGACGATGGTCCAAGTGCTCGGGTCCCTGTTCCCCACATGAGAAACAAAGAAGACGCTCTTCTCTCCTGGCTCTGCCCTGGCATAAACCTAGGCTCTGCAGCAATTTGATGAGTCACCCAGAAAACGGAAGACACTCTTGCATACTCGTTTGCTCCCACTCTCTACCTCTGCAATTATTTGTTTAAAAAACAGAAAGAAAGAAGGAAAGAAAGAAAAGACAGAAACAAGCAAAAGCATGCAAGACCAAAGATGTAATTACAGATATGTACAGAAAAATGAGGAGTGATTGTGGGCAGCATAGATGATGCTGAGCTTCTAGGCTGCTTATGTTAAAGGAAGACAAGAAAGTTCAAAGCAAGTTTAATTATTAATACAGAAGTAATATAATATTATCAATAAAAATTAAATTTTATATAGTTCTAAAATCTAAGATAAAGTAGTTGCATACTTTTTTTATTATCTTAACAACATGATCAGTTTTGTTAATGGTTTAAAAGATACAGCAGCAATGATCAATTTGGCCATTACTGTAATGAAACTTTATTAAAATCAAAGTTATAATATAGATTCATAATTCAATAAAGAATAACATTCTCTTGACCCAACTTACTATAAGACACAAATGCTTCAAAATAAAAACTAATTAAGTTTTAGATTTTTAGAGCTCCTTTGTTCTGTTGACTGAACTAAAGATGCTATAAGAGGTCTTTACTGGGCCCAACTCAATGGCTCAATGGCTCAGTCCTTACTTTGCATGAGATGGGATTCCATATGGGTGCTGGTTCCTTTCCAGGCTGCTCCACTTCCCATTCAGGGCTCCACTTATGGCCTCAGAAAGTAATAGAGAATGGACACAAAGCTTTGGACACTAAAACCCTGAACCTGTGTGGGAAACTGGAAGAAGCTCCTAGCTCCTGGTTTTAGATTGGCTCAGTTTTGGCTGATGCAGCCACTTGGGAATTGGACCAGTGCACAGGAGATTTTCCGTCTCTTCTCTCTATGGGCCTGCCTTTCCCAGAAAAATAAACAAGTCTTTAAAAAAAGAAGAAGTTTTTACTGGCAAAAAAAGTTATGTATTTAAAGAAAGCTTTAAAAAAAAATAAGATTCTGATTTCTATTGTACTCAAATGAAGTCTGAAACTGGTCTCAGTGGTGAACAAGGACAGTGGTCCCCTGTTACCCATAGGGATAATAGGGACACCTGAAACTAGGTGGTATCATACTTGATCATATTTTCCTGTCCATACACTCTTACAATAAAGTTTAATGTAAAACTGAGCATAGTACAAATTTGACATAGTACAATAACAACAAAACAGATTAGGTATTAACAATGCACCAAAATAAAATTGCCAGCATCACTACTTTAGTTCTACTTTAGTTCTTTGGAGCCACAACTAACTGGCACACTTGAACATAACTACTGAAAAACCTTGGCATTAACGACAGCTACTAGACTCTGCAGTGATTAATGGGTGGGTAGGACATACAGCATGCAAATACTCAACGAAGGAGTCATTGATCCACGTTCTGGGTGATATAGACTGAAATGTGAGATTTAATCATGCTACTGAGAATGATGCTCACCTTTAAACATAACAATTGCTTATGTCTGGAGTTTTCCATTTAATATTTTCAGCCCTCGGTTGACTGTGACTAACTGAAACCATAAAAAGTGAAACCACAGAAAAAGGTAGGGTGGGGGAAACTGTTGCAGTGTTTGAAAGAACCATAATTACTACTCCCCACTGTACCATTTGGGATTTGTTAAAATGCAGTTCTCGGTCAGTCATAGACCTATGGACTCTAAAGTCACAGATTGTGCACTAGTTCATTTTAAGAACATAGTGCATTGACTTTTTCCAGCATGAAAACTGCCACCTTTACTTGTATCCTTTGAATTTCTGAGTTTGAATCTATTATTTGTTAGAGGATTCTTTCAGTGTCCTATGCTCTACTTCAGGTGTAGCATCGCATATCTTGATCTCCAACCTCTACACAGATAAAAACTAAGCTACTCTGGACAAGTCTCTTCACTACCCCTAACGCTAATCTTGATTAAATGTTCACAATATAATGAATATTAAGTTAATTTAAATAAACATTACACTAATATGTAAAAGTGTTCAACATAAAATAGGCATTAAGAACATTCCATATTTTACCTCATTCAAGGAAAAACATCAGAGACTATTACAGTTTGCAAAACACATTCAACTGAAGAATTGGAAAGTACTTAATATCTGGTGAAAGCTTTCAAGGTTTTTTGATATAATGCCATGTTCTTAATTGTTGATGCTTCCTGTTCCTTCTATCATCGCCATAATTAAATATATGTTACTATTTGACTGACTACTCTGTTATCTCATTTGGCTCATTTTCTCCTGAGATTTGACCAAGCATTTTCTTCTTCTTTTTTTTTTTTCTTTTCTGAATAGCTGAGTTACTGGGATTGAAGGAAGAGAAATCAAGATAAACCATCTTTAAAGTTGGAAAAATCAAGAAGTTGCTAGACATCCTTGACGGTTGTGATTGCTACTATGATGAGATTGCCTAAACTGGCACAGGCATTTAGCCTAGCAGTTGGGCCTCCGGTTAGGACTTTCACATCCCACACTTGGCTGCTCCCCTCCCAATGCTGAGTTCTTTCTAAGGCACACCTGCGAAGCAGCAGGTGGCAGTTCTGTTGTTAGCTCCCTACACTCACATGGGAGACAAGTATTGATATCCTGATTTCTGCTTTTGATGTGGCCTGGCCCAGCCCCAGCTGTTGCAGGAGCTGGGGACGTAGGACAATGAATGTGAGATTTTTTTCAATTTGTATTTTTTAATCTATCTCTTAAACTCATTCTTAAATTCTATTTCCAGGGATACATTTCAATGAGCTCCATTTTATGGCAATAAGGATAATAAACGAAAATAATCCTATGCAGCATTTTTAAAGACATGAGTGCCTAAGATGAATGAAACAATATGTTTGAGGAATTAAATGTAATCTGCGACATCTATGGGAGAAACAAAAATGATAGCAAGAACATCTCTTACTTGAAAAAATGTTAAAAATGCAAGAGCAAATGGCCAAGTGAGCAGAAGGTGATGTCTACGCTGGTATCCTCAATGACAACAAATGGGTGCCCAGGGATTAATTTAATATTTAATAACAAAAGATTTAAATGATAAATGTCATCTACAGTAATACTTTGTATGTTATGTCACATAATCATATTCCTTATATTTTAAAATAAAATGTCAGTATATATTTTACTTGTTTACTACTATTATAACATGAAATGTGACAAATTCATTGACTATCCCCTGGGAGAGACATAACCACACTACATGGGGTCAATTAAAATAGGGTAGCTTCAGTGTAGAAGCAAAACCCCAGAATGGGGTTTCTCAGAATGGAAGCATTTACCAGAGGACACTCCACATGTTCTAGATGTGTAGGACCCAAAGTCAAGTCTTTATTGAAGATAGTGCTAGCCACAGGTGTCAGGAAACTTCATGCTCATTACTATGAAAATCACAGAGATAAGATAAGGATGGGTATAATATGTGATAAATAAAGAATGTCTACTGAAGTGGGCCTCCAGTGCCATAAAATGGGGCAGACTTTGCTAGTCTCAAGAAAATATAATGTAGAGTAGCTGCTCATCACAATTCTTACTTAGGAGTGGGTTTAAGGGATGTAGGCAGTTCTTCCTGCAGCGCTGCATTCCATACACTGTCCTGTGCTTTGCCTCACAGAGCTTACAGGTCTGCTATCGGTACCCTATTCCTGGAGGAAAGGGAGCCAAGCGCCACACTCCTGGTCCGTGGTAACAGGGAAAGGAGACAAAGTGTTGACGAGCCCCACTGAGCTTCCTCATCCTCCTTCAGTGGGACCTTCCAATGGGGAGATTTCTTTTTTGATTGATCAGAGGTATTTCTGATAAGACTGTTACATTAAAATCTAACTTCAAGGTTAAATCAACAGAACTCAGGTTACTCTTTTTTTTTTTTTTTGCTCACAACCAAGAGAAAGGCAGAAACACTCACTTTGAATCTTCTTCTCACTTCCGATATCTTATCATCCAATTCTTCTGTCTTATGTTTGATGAGGTGGTAAACAGCACTGATGTGGTAGGCCTCCATGTAGAGCTGCTTGAGATAAACATTATTCTTCGACTTCAGTTTCAACAAAGATTGGATTTCAGACTCATGCTCCGCTTTTTTTCTTATGCTGTAGAAACAGAGCAAGATATTAATACAATTAATTCAAGGGAGCATATATTTAGGAATATATATTTAATACTAATGAAACATGAACAAGATTGTATTTTATGCTGCTGAAAATACAATATAGCCTAAACATTTGTTAAAGTTTGAGTGTGTTAATGTTTGTTAAAATCTGGGACAGAAACTATGTCCCAATATTTCATTTATTTTTGTATTTCTCCTTATGGCTATTTCTATTTGTCACGTGCTCAGTCTCAAAGATTTAAGACCATCAGTAAGATAAGCCTTTGATCAAAATTCTTCCAGACTTCCTTTTTTACTTTCCATAAAAGTGATTTTTACTAAAGAACACACTTCAAATGGATGAGTATAAACCAAACATCCTGGAACAAGCCACATTCAGTGCTAGTGCCTTTGGGAGGATGACCCGTGCACTGTAAGATGTTCTGCAGCATCTTCCCAGTAGGTGCAGACATTGTACACTTCCATTGCAGCAGATCAAGACTCAGAAGACAATGACAAATGTCTACTACTAAGAATTAAAAATCATCCTTTTTGGAAATTATGCAACTAAAGCAATACTTCTAAACCCAAATGCACTGTATAATGGAGTGTCTACTAGAGGCTCTGTGTTTCCAGAAAATCTGGTTTCATTAGTCTTGGGTAAAGACCCAAGCTTAGTATTTTCATACATTCCAGACAAACTACTGAATCTAACTAGAATGTACTTCTCAAGCTCGAGTATGTATAAAGTCTTTATGGAAAGCATGTGAAGTCACAGCCTCCTGAAGTTCACACTCAGGCATCAATCTGTGATTGAGTAGAGGATAGAATGAACCAGTGAAGATGCTCCCAGTTGATGTTCATGACAGTCGCCCATCACACTTTTCTCAAATAGCGCTGCTTCTGTAGTGTGAGGTTGGGATGCAGGCTGAGTATCGGGGACCTATTCTTAGCAACAGTAGTGCTGAAAAGTTATCACAGATAAATAGTAAAGTAGTGTTTAGGGGCAAGTAATAGTAGTAGCAATACAAGAGTGCTAAGTAGTGACAAGGGAGCTTCTTAACTGTTAGCATAACCGGTATTTTTGGCTTCTGTAATCATTGCTTGACTGCTACATAAAGAACAGGACTGATGCCATGATAGGCCTAAGGTTGGGGAGTAGTCCTAAGTTTCACTTTAAAGTCTCATTTTCCTCAGAGTGATGGAGTTGGCAGGGGGAAACGACCTTGGAGATGGGCCAATCAGGGGTATCCGCACGTCTGCAAATGGAATGTGGTCTGCATTGGTATGGGTAGCACGGGAATGTGGCCTCCACTAGTACGAGTCATACATGACCAAGAGAAGGACTGCGCAGCTCGCTGGAGACGTGTAGTACGTGACTAAGAGGGGATTAAAAACGGTTCGAAGAGACAAGTGGAGTCCTTGTCAAGATTCCACTGTGTTGGAAGACTCGGACCCTAGCTCAACGTAGCAATAAAGTTTCTTTGCTTTTGCATTGTTACGTGTAGAACTTGTCCATCTGTGGTTCGGGGATCTTTTGGTTCTAACACTTCTAAGAATACTGTCAGGCTAAATATGGATAGCAAACACTTATGTAACAGAATATGGAGACCACTGAATTAATATGGTTGCATTAGGTGGAAGTAGGAACTAAGAGAAAGGAGTAAATATAATCAATGAGGAGCTGAACCTACCCAGCATGTTTCCCTATCTTGGTTAGGATGTTAAGGATGATGTAGAAACATGCAACAGACAGAGCTAGGCTTCCAAATGAAATAACCTCCTGTGCAAAATGAAAATGGGGCTGCAAATCCATCAGCAGCCCCAGGCAGCAGAACACTGTCTGGAGGCATCCCGCCAGATGAGGAGCGAGGGCAAGGCTGGTGCATTCATGGCAGGTCTCTGCCTGAGTTCAGGCCAGGGCAGTGACTGAGAAGAGTGACAGCATTGAGAAGAACAGTTCCGGAGTCCAAGAACCCAAATCAGCCGCTAAGTTAGCATGCACTTCATTTTAGAACGATCACTGGGGATCTGAAAAGAACACCAGAACTGAAGCCATGCTGGTGCACTGGGATCAAGTTGGGTCAGGGAAAAGCAATGACAGGCTTCCAACTACAAGGAGATGAGCGAGAATCAGCATGCATATGAGACCAGTGTGCATCTGTGTGTCGCTGTGTGTGTGTGTGTGTGAGAGAGAGAGACAGAGAGAGAGAGAGAATGCGAGTAAGAGTGAAAGAAGGGGGTAGGATAAGGGGAGGGAGGAATATGAAGAATATCAATCTGCTTGGGGCAGGTGTTTTAGTACTGTTGGTTTAGCTACTTGAACCCCTGCAAGCCAGATGGAAGGCCCAATGAAGTTCTTGGCTTCTCCCAGCCATATCTCTCATGACCATTGAGTGGGGGGAGTGGGATAAACCAGTGGATGGAAGATCTTCTTCCTCAATGTGTCTGTGCTTCTCTGTCACTCTGTCTTTCAAATAATTAAAAACAAGTTTACCAAAAAAGAAATCTTATTCAGCCTAGGAGACTTCAAGTAAAAGATACAAGGCATGTTACAAAATTTTTTACCAATGAGCCCAAAATCAGAACATTCATTCTAGGGGACAGTTATTTAATGATTCTCTTTGACAAAGAATTTAAATACTAACTTTGATGGTGGAAAAGTAGGTTAAGCTGCCACCTATGACATCAGTATCCCTTGTGAGGACTTATTTGAGTCTTGGCTTCCTGACTTCCGATCCAGCTCCCTTCTGGTGCACCAAAGAAAGCGAAAGGATACAGCCCGACTCCTTGAGTCCCGGTATCCACATCAAAGACCAGGATGAAGCTCCCGGCTTTGCCTTTGGTCTGGCCCCACCGTGGACCTTATGATCATCTGGGAAATAAGCCAGCAGATGGGAGATCTCACTCTCGGCCTGCCTCCCTCCTCATCCTACCCTTCCTCATCCTTCTTTTTCCTCTCCTCTCCACTTTCTCTAGCTTTCAGATAAACAGATCTTTTTCCTTGAAAAAATGCTTTGAAATGATAGGCTGGTAAGATATGGCTAATCAGATATGGAAAGCACAGTACCCTGTGGATTCAATATAATTCTTCCAAGCTACTTTAAAACCTCACTAATGTTCAATCATTGTTTCTGCAAATAAGTCACCATCCTGTTAACTCTTGACAAACACATTTTCCTCCAATGTGCCAATATGCGGTCACGGTGTGCGGTAGCTTCTTTGCTCATTTACCTTGATGATCAACCCTGCCTCTGGATCACTGCAGTTACATTGGCATTGTCTTGCTTGATGTACAACCGAACATTAGGAGCAGTATTTTACAGAGCTTGAATATAAGAAAATGACTATATAGAGATTTATAGTACGCAGTTAACTTCAAGAAAACTAAATTTAAACTAATTTTAATAATCTCCAACAAGTTCATTTTCCTTGTCATAAATTGTTGAAGGTGGTCTGTCATGTGAATATGCAATCAAATGAATTATTTGCTCAAAACCAATGTCCCTTAAATGTAAAAGGTCCAATCACAACAGAGTCTGGCTTGTTGCAAAGACAGACGTGTCCAATTATATACTGCCGATACAAGGAAAATCACATATCACATGTCATCATCATCAACAACTGAAATCCTGGGAAACAGCTGTGTACCCAGGATGTTGAGCAAAGACTGATAAAAAGTTCAGGATATTTAAGGTAATGTAGCCTTTTTAAGACTTCCTATAAGTGAGCAGTAGATCATACACTGAAGTAATCATGTGCCTGAGTTACACAGTATAAAGTGTGGGAATGGAATCAAATGATGAACTGGTGATCCCATAGAATCTAGGCACATAAGAGCTCCAGTTTAAGGATGTTTCCTGGGGATGTTCACCAGAATTAAAGGGTCACTGATTTTCTTTTTATTATTTTTCACCTTAAGGAAAAAGAGAAGCTATAGGTAAGAAAAGGTAATTCAAATACAAGGAATGAGAAAGGAAAAAAATAAAGACTAAGAAGCACCTTCTGAGACAAAAGAAAGTGAATACAACCAACCACACAAGGAAATAAGCAAAACCATGTTTCTACATGGTTCTGAAATAGTTGAGTTCTGTGCCCAAAACATTCTGTAATGTATCAGAAATAGAAACAAAGAGTTACTTAACAAGAAAAGTGATGTGGTTTGATAAAGAATTTTGAAGCCAGATTTATATCCAAATCCCAATTTCTCCTCATGTAATTTGGGATGGTGTCATGCATTGGTCCACATATGAAGAACTAGCCTAGCAATATATATGATAAAAGCTACTATAAATATTAGTCCTTAAAAAACTCAGAGTTAATATGTACATCCCACTTATCCACGTTAAATAACAAAAAAATTATTCAATAAATAGGTTTTAGCTCATGAAAAAGTATGTAAGACTGGCAGGGTCTTTACAATGCTCTCAGATTTACTGACCCAGAACATGTGGAACCCCCCAAAAATGAGAAAGAAAACAATCATCATTTATATGACTTTGTATCAGAGAGATTTCATAAATGAGTGTAAAGTCAGAGTAAAGGGAACAGGAGCATAGATACTAACGAAAAGGAAGAATTAAGGCTAAACCTTTACATTTAGCTTTCATTCATTATATCATCTATTTCATGCATAGTGAAAAATACACACACACACACACACACACACACACACACACACACACACACACACCCCTTCGAGCAGGAAGCAAAGCCCAGAACAGAAACAACCAACCAACCAATGGCCATGATACATAGTGTGAGAATTCCTGGAGGAGAAGCACATGGAACTCGGAGGGCTGGTTAGGTGATGCTCATTGAGCTTCAATGCCATGTCAAGTGCTCTGCTGCTCACTGGCAAATAGATTCAAGAAGTTCACACACACAGAGAATCTGTGCAATAAATTATAACAATGGAAGAAGCACTTCACATGTGTTGGCTTGTGGATAGGGAAAAAATAAGTGACCAAAGCAGAAAGCTTCTGAGATTAACTAACATCT